TGCTGAAATTGCTGATGTAAGAGTCAAATTCTAAACTAAAGTGTTAGTGCTGAATTAAAAATAAAGTTTGCCTCATGGATTTTGAGCCATTTTTTCACAATCATGATGCAACTAACAACTTGGTTATAGAGCATCAGTTTTTCTGTGGGATAACAGAACTTTGCAAACAAGTGAAAAACTTCTTAACTAGAAAATCTCTTGGCATCTATGCTCATTCCAACATGAAATTTAACAACATTAAACAACTGTAGTGATGATGATGAGACTCCTTTTGAGCTCACTGACCTTAGGAGAGCTTGTGGGGTCTGGTCCTGGAGCTCTTGCTTAAGGGAGTGTTAACAAATCAGTACTTGCTAATTAGCTTTCATAAAGCACTTTGAAGAGGTGAAACTGCAGTATCTCACCTGGTTTCAGAGGAGGGCCTTGAGACTGACCCTGCACCTGTCCATGGGCTGCCTGATTTTGTTGCAGGAGCGTGCATTGCTCACATGAGTAAAGTTGCAGGTTCAGGCCCCATATGGTATTTTATATTGTATTTCTACAGGTGGAGGGGAAAACTCCAACCAGAAGCCAGGATAGAGTGAATATGAATCCCAGCCTAGTTGGAACCAGAGGATTTATGGGAGTTTTCCATAAGAATGATGAAAGCTTAACCACTTTCAGAAGCCCACTGAATCCTCTGAAACCCCCCACATGTAGACAGCAGGGAACCAGTACATCAGTCCCAGGTGCTTCCATTCCCCTTTACTGCCTGATCCTATGAGATACTGAGCAGCTTTCAGCATCAGTGGCACTCAGCCTCTTGCAGGAGAGTACTCAGCATCTTACACAGTTGGGCCTCAGCAAATATATCTAAAGGTGACATGCAAGGAAAAAGCCCAAAAGTAAAATTGCTTTTTGCATCTTATTTCCCCATCATATTTGCTTCTTTAGAGGTAATGTGTGTGGGGTTTTGTTTCCAGGGTTCTAGCTCATTTCAGTAATGTGTTGCTAGTGCTGGACGAGATGCCAAACTTTCCAGAGGAGCTCCAAGGAGAAAAGAAAGGCATGCTGTATTTGACACAGTACAAAGTAAGAACCAAGACTCCATCTATCCTGTTACTTACTTTGTACCCAATGCTGTCATACCTAAAAGCCTGGCAGATTACACAAGTTATGAGCTGCACATGCATAGACTTAAAGTTTGTTGTGTCGTGTAGCTATGTCACCACTGGATAAATCAGAATGGCTTTTGGAGTGAAAAATGTGGATGGCAGAAGGAAAAAGCTTGGAGATGCTGTCTAGAAGTCAGTCTGTATAGCTAGAATGCTAAACTGCAGTTACAGTACCTCTATGAACAGATTAATATAGACCCAGCTAATTCCGTAAGGTCAAAACTACACAACAAAGGTTTGCCTCACTTGGTTGGTCATGCTGATTTTTTGCCAGTACAGCCCTAGCATAGATACAGCTATAACACAAAAGGTACTGGGAGAACTAACAGAAGCTATGTTGGTTAGCAACCCTTTGAGGTTACTAAATTTGCATCTGCAAAAGGAGGGGTTTACTAGCCTAGGTTTACTAGCCTAGTAAACCTTTCCAGTATAAAGCCTCTCATGCTATTACCCAGCAAATGGTGCATTAAACCAGGGTGCTAGATAGCCTCTGTATGTGTGGGGACAGACAAGAAAGAGCACGGGGAAGGAGATCAGAGTGGCACTTAGGGAGAGTGCAGGGTTAATCTGTGGCCCCCATTGCATTAAACAAACTACTATTAGTATTTTTGGAACACTTTCCCTTTAAACCTGCAGGAGGCAGCTACCATTTTGCATTCAGTTCAGGTGTAGCATGTTGTAGAGGAGACTCACGCACCATGGTCTCTTTTGTTCCATGTTGGTTTCCTTTCATTTAAAAGAAAGGTCTTTCCTACTGAATATGTGATTGCTGTTTGTCAAGGGAAAACACATCATGGTGCACTCATAATTGTCACTGACCATACCATAGAATGGATTATTAGTTCTGGAGACCAAGCAATATCCTGGAAATGGTGTTACCAAGAGGTAGATCTTCCCTTTGCTCCTATTAGGGGTAAGAGTCATGGTCTTCCATTCTGTGAGGCAATCCCATCCATAGCACTTTCTGACACTCGCATGATTTTCATTCATTTCCGAAGTTGTTCTTATAACTACTTTTGGCAGGGAGTAATGTGACCCCTGACTAGAGAGGACCAGTGTAGCAAGCAATAAACTGGGGTGATGGGTTGGCCTTGGTCCGAGTTGTTTAACTCTCTCTGGCTTCTCATCTCCAGTACTGGCAGTGTGTTCCCTCAGCCTCTTTCTTCCCTTACAGTTCCCCACTTCCTGAGTAAATACCACCAACCAAAGCCATCCTCTTCCTGATGCAGTTCTTATCTCCGTTTCCCTAGATAATATTCCAGCACAAGGACAAGGGCTCCACAACTGTCCGTTTTCCACTTCAGCTTCTGGGGGACTGCGCGCTAGGGGAACAGGCAAGCTCCAAGCAGCAATATGTCAAAGGAACTATTAGTAGGTGTCATATTTTTATATCTACAACCGCCACAAATCACTTTCACATTCACTTCAAGTGAGAAGAGGCAGGTGGACTCAATGTGGGTGTATTAACCAGAAGGCCACATACATTTGTGTTTTAATAACCACTGTAGGAAAGGGGATTTAAATTACTCATCAGGTACACTGAGCTGGTATTGCATCTGATTCGTGCTGTCTTCTCCTATAAATGGCAAACAAGGGCTGGGATGAAGGAATTGGGACATCCATAAATCTTGAATCCATCAGCTATCATTTTCAGTTAGTAAGGAAAACACTTTGTGCTCAAATAGACACACACACACATACATCAGGATGTTTGCCTAGGATAAAATGCAGCTGGCTCACTGGGTGTCAGTGTCCTTTCACACATGATAGAGAAATCATTAAGTACCTAGTTGCAACAGATTCTTTGGAACTAGAACCCCCATGTTCCACTGCCTGCACAAGAGGACAAGCTTCTTTCGTGCTTCACTTCCGTCCTGGGGATAATGATCCCCACCGTACAAGCATGTTATAAGACCTAAGCAGTGACTGTAAAGAGGTTTTACATCCTTGAAGGAGAAGTTCAGAAGAACATTACCTAAGACCCACTCAATGAATAGATATGATATACAAATGCCTAGTCACTCCCTTTTGTAACATTACTTTTCGGACAAGGTAAGGATTGCTTCACAGGTGTAGTTTCTGTGTTGCATTCATGCCTGTGGGCTAGTGGAGAAAGGTATGGCAGGAGGGAAGAGCAGGAAAAACAACTGGGTACAAAGAGATGAGGAGAAATATACAACATAGCAGTGTGTGGAGAGAGGAAACATATCCGGTGCAGGAATGTCAGCTGACTTGACTCACTTCTCACTATCTCATCCTCTTAGCTT